CTGCGCCGCTTTTGCTTAGTTGTCGTTTTATTGGCCCTTACCTCGAACATGCGTGGCTGTCCAAGCCGTCAGGACCTGACGAAGATCCGCGAGCAAGCGAGCGAAGCTGGTGCAGTTGGCCAGGCTGAGACTCAGCCACGGGTGCTTTTCAGCAGCGCTGTTTCGGACTGATCTTTTGACAGGCACAAGTTAGGATAGGTATTGTTAATAGCTTCAGCGGAGTCCCCGGATTTGAGCCCGCAGCAACTTCCATGAAAGCCTGTCGAGCGGGCTCACTTCCATTGAGCTGCGTGAAGGCACCGCGTTTCAAAGAGGATTTTCCCGACATATAGTTTCGGATAGGGTGCTGGGGAAATACAGATTCGGATAGATTTTTTGTGGAAAAAGTGTTTCGTGGAGACGACTGCCGCTAGTCTCGGGAATCTTCAACAGTAGTTATAAGAGCCTAAGTCCTCTTCCTTGTCATAGTACCAGTAATCATAACATTGAACAATGCTACCAGGAACAAGGCCTGTTCCACAAGCCAGGACAACATGTAGCCCCAACATACCCCAAAACCCAAACCTTCGCTTACCTCGAACATGCGTAGCTGTCCAAGCCGTCAGGACCTGACGAAGATCCGCGAGCAAGCGAGCGAAGCTGGTGCAGTTGGCCAGGCTGACACTCAGCCACGGGTGCTTTTCAGCAGCGCTGTTTCGGACTGATCTTTTGACAGGCGGCACCGCAGAAAGTTGCCCGCCAGTTGTTGGCAGCCCAAGGGCACTTGCAGGATCGGGCGGCGCGCGATGCCGAAAGCGTTCTCAAGACCCTCCCCAAGAAAGGCAAAAGAGGCAACGACTTGCGCGATCAGGTCAGGAGCATGTTCCATGAAAACCACGACAAGCTGTCGATCTGGCCCAATACTTTTGTCAGACTGCTGCGGGACACCTTCAGGTCGATCGTGGCACAGGAAGCAGACAGATCAGATTGGAGACGTGCTGAATTCCTGGAGACGATGAGACTCGACACTCGGGCAATGGCTGCCTTGCACACAGTCATGGAGGGCGTCATGCAGGAGATCATGCGCCAGACCGGGGAGTTGGCAGAGCACGGCAAGCATGTTACGATCTACAAAGAGGATCTGCAGTTGGCGCTGCGGATGCGCGAACAGTTGGGGGACCCGATGGCTGCTGGAGTCGTCAGGCGAGTCTTCGGCCCAGAACCTCGGGAGCTGGATGAAAGGTAAAGAGACAGGGACCTTGCCGTGCGAGCAAGATGTCGGCAGAACATGGATTTGCTTAGCGACATCTTGCATGAGGAAGAGGAGCTTGGACGCAGGAACCGCAAGAGCAAGCCTGCAAAGAACCTCCGGCGTCGGCGTGAAAGCAAAGCATGCTCTTTCAGCGCTTTCTCCCGGCCATCAAAGCAAAACTCAAACTTTGGCAGGCCAGTGCACCGTCCGAGAAAGACGCGCACACGAACGCCTCACAGCTCAAGGTCGCATTGCAGCCGGTGTTGTGATTGTGTGGAGTTGGAACACGCTTTTGGCAGGACACTGCACTCTCCGAGAAAGACGTGCCGCACACGACCGCCGCGCAGCTCGAGGCCGCATTGCCCGGTGCTGTGATTGTATGGAGTTGCAACACACACTTATGGCAGGCCACTGCACTTCCCAAGAAAGACGGCTCGCACACGACCGCTTCCCAGCCCAAGGCCGCATTACCCGGTGCTGTCATTGTGTCAAGACCCGCTTTTGGCAGGCCACTGCGTCGAGGAAAAGCCGCTTCAAAACGAAGGTCACCGGGCATTGGTTGTGTGGAGTCGGAACACGCTTTTGGCAGGCCACGGCGCCGTCGAAGGAAGACTTTTCGCACAAGACCGTCTCGCAGCTCAAGGTCGCTGTGATTGTGTGGAGTCGGGCAGGGTGTGTTTAGATCCTTGCTGGAACGTCACAGGAATTATTGAAAAGCAAAGGCCTCAAAGCCAGCACCTGAGATCTTCAGTCCGGCATTGCCTTGGAGCGAGTCGTGTGGACAGCAGCAGATGTGCGATTTCCCTTGCAGGCCACCGGTCGCAAAGATGAACTTGTGAGCCGACTGTGCAGTTTTGAAAGCGCTGTTGAAGGGAAAGTTGCTGATCCGGCTTTGCTTTGAAGGGCACGCCCAAGTTTCAGGAGAAGCTTCAGGGCATGTGTTATTGCCACAGCATATGCATTACACCAAGACATGTCGTGCCTGTGCAGGGTCGTGCGCGTGTTCAGAACTGTTTAACGAAAGGGCTTCGGAGAAATCCATGGCAGCCTCGGCAGAAGCACAGTCCCGGAGGCATCACCCGTCTCCCTCGCAAGAAAAGCAGTTGTGAGTTTTGCTGTTTGTCAGGGCTTGCAGGCTTTTTGTTGTTGCCAAGGTTTTGTTTTTCTGTTGGGGCTTGAAGGCTTTTTGTCGTTGTCAGGGCTTTGTTTTTTTGTTGTGGCTTCAGCGCGCTCTCGTGTACTGGTTCGGATCGCAGGGCTGCTTGGAGCTTAGGTTGCGTCGATTTGAAGGCGAACTTAGGGTTTAGGGTTTAGGGGTTTGGGTTTCGGGAAGTTTAGGGTTTAGGGTTCAGGGGTTTAGGGAAGTTTAACCTCAGGAAACATAACACTTGATGGTCTCACTGGACGTATGGCTTACGGGGTTCAGAGTCTTGGATGTGTGGCTCCGTGGTACTCGATTCAAAGCTCGATGTTTAGCAGTCCTTGCTGTACGGTTTCAGGACTAGCGGGGAAAATTGCCGTCCCCTGTTAAGGGATCTTGCTAACAGATCGCGCGCGATGTTTCGAACAGGGCTTCGGGTGGAAGTTGTTGGGGCATCTCGGGATTGCAGGGTTGGGCAGAGTATCTTTAGTGGCCCATGACCGAGGTATTGGCGGAACTCAGAGCATCATTCAAGTGGGGTTATAGTCTACTGCCTAAGTGTCCCGAAGTCTTCTAGCTTTACTGCAGAGATGAGCCACTCGGTGTAATTAAGATGCCTCTCTCCCTTACACAATGCAGTAAATAACTAAACATATATAACATATATATATATATATACTATATGCACACACGTAACACGATTCTGAAGACGGGCATCCTGCATGAGGGAGGCTTATTGATCAGACGTTCTCTCTCTTCGGGAAACCAAAGTATGCAGGGGTTTAGGGCTTAGGATTTAGGGTTTAGGGTTTAGGGTCTTCCGGCCTCAGTGTGAGCAGTGGGACTCTTGGTGATCGACAGCGCCCGACATCTCCTTGAGGGTCCAAGTACCTCATAATCACACACTCTCCCAAAGAGTAACCTACATAACTACTGTCCGAAACCTAAGTACCTGATTATTGGCCCTAAACCCTAAACCCTAAACCAAAGTACCTGACCCTAAACCCTAAACCCTAAACCAAAGTACCTGGCCCTAAACCCTAAACCAAAGTACCTGACCCTAAACCCTAAACCCTAAACCGTCCTTTGGACCCTTGGGGTCTGCTTTGAAAGCGAGAAAAGTGGGCTCCAAAAGCACCCCCTCCCCGCGCTGTTTTACCTCCCCTTGGCAAGGCGAAGCCTGCACTGGCAGACTCTAAGCCCGAGGCCCCATTATAGCATATACTTTAGGGTTTAGGGTTTAGGGTTTATACTTTACGGTTTAGGGTTTAGGGTCTAGGCTTTGCGATATTATGGCCGTAAGCCCTAAACCCTATTCAAAGGCTTCGGTTTCAAGCCTGCGCAAGGCTTAAACTTCAAGGGAGGGGCCTCAGGCTTTTGCACGGTTGCATTGGGTCTTCGAGGGTTTTTCTGTTGCATTTGGTCTTCGAGGGTTTTTCTGAGGGGCCATGATGAATAGTTCGTAATAGTCTTTCTTTCGTATACTTGTATAGATTCAACACCCCGGATAAACCCAAGTCTATTTTATTCAGGATGCTATATTGCTCTGTAAACCGTGTTGCGTTCCCCTAGATGCTAGACCCACATGGTTGGAACGATGTCTTTCGCGATTTTTTAGTCTTCGCAGAAGCCTGACTGGCTTCCAACCACTTTGACATCCAACACCCTACCTTAACCTACCAGAACCTACTTTTTTTGTGGGGTCCCTATGACTTCCATATTCGGGTTTATACCAAGAACCAACAAAAAAGTGGATTATGGTAGGTTAAGGTAGGGTTTAGGCCTTGAGGGTTCAAGCCCCCGAACGCTAGAGCAGAAACATTGAAGCCTAAACCCCATAGACCCTAGATCCCCATATCCTAATCCTAATCCTTAAACCCTACACTCTAAATCCTATTCCTTAAGCCCTAAATCGCAAACCCTAAACCCTATAATACTACGGAGTTACTAATGAATTTGGTATAATAACTATAATAACTATCATAACTTGGGATGCTCGGGCCATGGGTGAGGCTCCTCAAACTGCTCCGCCACCCGGCCGATCGCAGTGGCCGTGGGGGGCCGAGACTATGGCTAATGAGGGTTTTGGGATTTAAGGTTTAGGGTTTAGGGATTTAGGGTTTACGGTTCAGGGGTTTTGGGATTTAGAGTTTACGGGGTTTGGGATTTAGGGTTTAAGGTTTGGGGTTTAGGGCTTAGGCCTTAGGGTTTAGGGTTTTAGGGGTTTTGGGATTTAGGGCTTAGGGTTTAGGGTTTAGGGTAAAGGGGTTTTGGGATTTAGGGGCATTTAGGCTTTAGGGCTTGGGGTGGCTAATGAGGGCTTCAGATTTAAAGGTTGAGGGTAACATGTGTATATGAGTGTGTGTGTGTGTGTATATATATATATATATACATATCGAGAACTGGATCTAGATCTAGATGAATATATACACATAGATACATACATATATATGTGTGTATATATATATATATGTATAATCACACATATACGTAACCCACCCCCCCAACCCCACCACCCACCCCTCCGAAGCCCTAATTCCTAGATGCTAGGCCCTACAAACCTTCACCCCTAAAGCCTTAAGCCCTAGAGTCCTAATCCCGAAATCCTAAACCCCATACTTCAGGGTTTAGGGTCCAGGGGGCCTAAGTAGGTGTATCTCCGAAAGGAGTGAGCTGGTGACCTTGCTCTGTCTGGAGGGCGAGCGAAATGCCAACTGCATTGACACAGCAAGCAACCCTAAACAGTAAACCCTCAAAATGGGGCTCGGTTTTAGGCTTAGGGGAAAGGGATTTTTTTTTTTTTGGGGGGGGGGTCTGAACATAGCACAAACACCATTGTTCCTTGTAGAACTGCACTTTGACTTATATACTGTATATGCTAGAAGAGCTCATTAGGGCATGGTTTTGTAGAGGTTTACAGCCGTTGCAGGGTTTTTTGGGGGGTTTTGGGCTTTGGGGCTTATTGCCTGAATTAAAGATCAAGTACGTAGGCTTAAAGAAGCGGGCTTAGGGCTTGAGGGTTTGGGGTTACGCTCTAGGCTAGGCTGTTTGGGTTCTGGGGCTCAGGGATTAGAGTTTTAGGGAGCAAATGAAGCCTAGAACAGCTTGTGGCTTGTATCAAGACTGCTGCAGCTAGTCTCGTAAGGTCGCCCTAAACCCTAAACCCTAAATCCTAAGCACGGTTTAGGGTTTGGGGTTTAGGGTTAGCCTCAAGTGGTTTAGGGTTTAGGGTTTAGAAGCCCGTAGCCTCAGCCTAGACCCTGAACCCTACCCGCCAAACTAGACCCGAAGTTGCTGAACCTGTTCCTGAAGTAAGTGTTGACACGGCTGACGCAGAGGAAGTTGTAGGAAGAGCCACTTGCCTCTACACGGTAATCTAGTAATGAGTAATGTGGGCCTATGAATTACCTAGACTATTTTGGGGGGGTTCCTTATTGTAATCATAGTATAACGGGCCTCAAGACCCTATTGTAATTATTCAGGCCCCTATACTATATTATATAGAGTACCTCATGTCAGAACCGGTAAGCTAACGTAGAAAACCGGGAAGATTGCAAGAGTCACAACGTGTCGGAATCGTTTCCGAGGCCTCTACGACCGCGTCCCAGTGATGGCTGGTCCGGTCTCCCAGTACGTATGTTGAGGGGGTTTGATGATCATCTCTTGAGGTTATAGTCGATTTTTTTGCTTATGACGGTTTTGTATCAGGCCTTATTAAAGTTTCATGGTGACTATTCGATAAGGCACAAGGGTTTAGTCCAAGGTTTGTAAATGAGGGCTTCGGAAATGGTGATCGTTTGTTCTGCAGATGTTTGCAATGGCAAAATGGAAGTTGGGCCACCATAAAGACCTTGCTGCATCCACCGTGTCGGCGACCGTCACCGGAGCCTTTTAAGCAAGTCCCCGATATCGCTCCTTTAAAGCCCTTCTTCAAACCACCATGGCTCGCTCCTCGGGTGTCCTTGCAGGCGGCCTACTGGGTGCTGCCTCCCTGGGAGGCCTGGCCTTCCTGGCACCCGGCTCCACAAGCCGACAGGTCGAAGTGCAAAGGGAGGTCGCTGTGGCTGCGCAGGCCCCAGGCTTCCTGGCATCCACGTCCAGCACCGGCAGCGCGGCCCAGGGCGTCACGGGCGCCTTGGCCGTGGCCGGCTTGAGCGTCGCTGCCGTGAGAGGCGCATCTTCCGCATCCCGCCAGAAGGGCATCAAGCCTCGGGCGGCCAAGAGCGTCGTCGCCTGCAACTCCTTGGCAAAGCTGAAGATCGACGAAGTGGACCTCAAGGACCAGCGCGTCTTCATCCGCGTTGACTTCAACGTGCCCCAGGACAAGAAGGACCCGAACATCATCACCAACACGGCCCGAATCGATGCGGCCCTGCCCACCATCAAGTATGCCCTCGACAACGGTGCCAAGTCCGTGGTCCTCTGCTCTCACTTGGGCCGCCCCAACGGCCAGAAGGAGAAGTTCTGCGGTTTAGGGTTTAGGCTGTGAAAACATACTACACGGTATCCTGCCTTTCATTTTCATTATTTGAAAGGACTTCTGATTCTTTTGATCTGAAGGACGAGTTAGGACGTTGGCATCCTGCTGTCTTCACTGTCATTTTCATTTTCATCTGAAGGACGAGAAATTTTCCATGAAGCCGGTGGCCAAGGTGGTCGAGGAGAAGTTGGGACGGCCTGTGAAGCTGATGAACGACGTGGTTGGCGAGGAGGTCGAGGCTGCGTGCGCGGACCCCGAGCCGGGCACCGTGATCCTGCTGGAGAACTCCCGGTACTATGTCGAGGAGGAAGGCAAGGGCAAGGATGCTGATGGCAACAAGGTGAAGGCCGATGAGAAACAGGTGAAGGAGTTCCGTGCCTCTCTGGCCAAGCTGGCGGACATCTACTGCTCCGATGCCTTCGGCACTGCCCACCGTGCCCACAGCTCCATGGTCGGAGAAGGCTACCCCGTGAAGTGCTCTGGCTTCCTCCTGGCCAAGGAGCTCGACTACTTCGCCAAGGCGATGCATCCAATCGGCTGAGATGTGAGTGTAGCTTGTAGTTAGCCCCAACCTCCGCTGGTGAGACGGAATGTCGCATGATGTGTTAGCTGAGAGATGGGACTTACTTGATCGTATGATTACTTAGGACGATCCCGCGGACAACTAAGACTAGTTCAAGCGAGGAAGTGCCATTCTTAGAGCTCGAAATCCATGGAGCTCATAAACAGACCGAGTCGTCTCGAGCCCTTCTCACCCTAAACCCTAAACCCCTAAACCCCTAAACCCTAGAACCGGTTGAGGTGGTGGACGCGCCCACGAGGCCGGTGTGCGGCATCCTCGGAGGGGCGAAGGTCGCCGACAAGATCCAGCTGATCATGAACCTCTTGGACAAGGTGGGGGGTTTCGGAAAATGGGGGACCCTAGTGTGGGGGGTACCCTAGAGAGTAGGATCCTTATCATAAGGACCCCCAAAAATATGGTACCCCTTATTTCGGGAACTCCCAGGTTGACATCATGATTATCGGAGGAGGCATGGCGTTCACCTTCATCAAGGAGGCCGGCGTGGACATTGGCAACTCCCTCTATGACGAGGAGGGTGCCAAGCTGGTGCCGGAGATCAGGAAAAAGGCCGAGGAGAAGGGTGTGGAGCTGATCCTGCCCGTGGACTTCGTGTGCTCCTCCAAGTTCGGAGATGATGGCGAGATCCAGGAGGGCGACATGAGCACGGGTGTTCCCGAGGGCTTCTTGGGTCTCGACATTGGCCCAAAGTCCATCGCCATGAACGACGAGGCCAGTGTTGGGTTGGCTTGCAGCTCCCGGTTAGGACTGTTAGGAATTGGCAGCATTGTGCTTCCACGACCCTCAATCGCATCATGCGGCAGGCCATCAAGAAATCCAAGACGATCGTTTGGAACGGTCCTATGGGCGTGTTCGAGATGGAGGCTTCGGTATCATGAGAACTGCACGATGTCGCTTTCAGAGTTTCTGTGGTGCTTTTCGTCGCATGATAGCGTCTGAGTCTGTGCACGGCAGGCCTTTGAGAAGGGGACGAAGCAGATGATGGAGACCATCGTGGCGGTCACCAAGGAGGGTGCCGTCTCAGTCATCGGTGGAGGCGACACGGCCACTGCTTGCAAGAAGTACGACACCGTGGACAAGGCGGGGGTTTCCGAAGATAGAGGACCCTAACATCCTACCCTAAATAGTAGGATCCGTACTATAAGGAACCCAAAATACCCCTAAACCCTAAACCCCAAAATAACCCTAAACCCCAAACCCTAGACCCTAAACCCAAAGTCAGCTACCCCTAATTTTCGGAAGCTCTGAGGTCTCCCACTGCAGCACCGGCGGTGGGGCCTCTTTGGAGCTACTCGAGGGCAAGCTCCTGCCCGGCGTGGCCGCTCTGGACGACTCCAAGGCCCTGGCAGACGCCTAGGAACAAGTTTTGTCTTACCGGTGTAGCTTTTTTCCGTACTTCAGCCCGTGTTCAGGCAGCCTCAGCGATTTTCAGATAGCGCAGGGGTTGTTTTCCGCAGATGCGGAGTGCATGTGGCATTTCGACAGTCAGAATCATGACCACTGTGCAAGAAGACCGCCGATGCATCGTATAGTTCCACAGGTGAAGTTGTTGTGTCCCAGGTCCTCAAGGGTAAGGGTTTAAGGGTTAGGGTAGTTTAGGGTTTTTGCCCAAAATCTGGGACATTTTCAGGTGGGTAGTTACCGTTTTAGGAGCCTTATGGAAGGTCTAATACCTTATAGAAGCCTTATAGATAGAAGCCCTATATACCCTAAACTCCCCACCTGTAGTTTCCTTTAACAAAAGAGTTTCGTCATGCTCTGGAAGATGTATCTGATCTTCGCGTCCAGCATCTCTGCAGCTGCTGAAGAGGGCTGGTACATCCACATATCAAAGTGGGGTTTAAGGCTAATTTAGGGTTAGAAACTAGGTAGGTCCTTGGGACATTGTATTTTCTCCCTTATTGGGGAGTAAGAGGACGTTACTTAATATGGCCCCACGACCCTATTCTAATTCTTGAGGACCCTACATTACGGCTTAGGATAGGCTTGAGACCTAAACATCGCAAGCCCAGCTCTCTACGCACTCAGAGGTTCTCCAGCGGCCCGGAAAATGGGTGGAGGAGAGTTGAGACCCAGCTGCCAAATGGTTTAGTGGTCATGGTTGACAGGTTCAGGGTTTAGGGTTGAGGGTTCGTTCTTTGGGATTTGGGAGGACTTGGTGCTTCAGTCGATAGGGTTTCTATCGTTCACATTGGGACCTTGGCTTAGCGAGGACCTTAGGAATTTAGCTGATTGTGTGTCCTTGGGCCGGGTTCTTACATTCCACGTTCTGCTGCGGGATCTCAGTGCCACGATGGGCTTCTGGGCTTTTATCAGGAGTAGTAGAACCTTTTTTTTCTTGCGCTGTAAGGGTATGACAGGGTTTTTACGTTCATTCATAAGACACATAAACCCTAAACCCTAAACAGGGTAATATATGGGAGTTTCAAAAGGTCTCATAGGGTTGGAGAAAGGATCCTGTGGGGTCGTGGTTGGACTTTAAAGGAGGTTTTGGTTTAGGGTTTAGGGTTTAGGGTTTGGCTCATCAACAATGATGTCACCGTCTATGGTACACCCCAAAGCCAAATCTGATGTTTAGCCGGAACCTAAACCCTAAACCGTAAACCCTACACAAGCCCAGAGTAAACAAGAGAAGACACTCTGATTCGAGCTGAAATGCCGCCGGGTCATCCGTAATTCACGGGACTACATAACTAGAGCAGTGTTCCTTCTTGGATTCCTTGAGAAAGTTTTGAGCCTAGCATGTCGAATATTCTATGATGAATAGTGACTTGAGGAGCTCATAGAAGCTTACAGCACTTCAACTATCCAAAGCCACAGCACACTCCACACGTACTGTACGACAGAGCCCTATATCCACCCTATCAGTTCGCAAGAAATCCACTACCCTCAAAACCTGAAGCCCTAAACCCCTAAACCCTAAAACCCCTAACCTTATGTAAACAAACCCTAAAACCCTAAAGCCCTAAACCTTACAACAAACAAAACCCAAAAACCCTAAACCCTAAAATCCTAAACCGTAATCCCTAAACCCTAAACCCTGAAATCCCTAAACCTTAAAACAAACAAAGTCCCTCCCCCTTCCCTTTTGCTAAGCCAAGGACTTCGCAGAAGCTTGGGCAGAGGCTCTGGGTCGTGCCGTTTAGGGTCTTTACGGTTTAGGATTTAGGGGTTCAGGGTTTAGGGATTTTAGGGACTTTATGGTTTTAGGGGTGAGGGTTTAGGGATTCTAGGGTTTTAGAGGTGAGGGTTTAGGTTTTAGGGTTTTGGGTTTTAGGGTTTTAGGGTTTAGGGTTTTAGGGGTGAGGGTTTAGGTTTTAGGGTTTGGGGTTTTAAGGTTTTAGGGTTTAGGGATTTATGGTTTAGGGTTTGGGATTGAGGGTTTAGGGTTTAGGGCTTGGGATCTAGGGTTTAGGGTTTGGGATTTGAGGGGGTTCAGGGTTTGGGATTTGAGTGATTTAGGGTTTAGGGTTTGGGATTTAGGGTTTAGGGTTTAGGGATTATTGTAGAGTTTAGGATTTAGGGCCTAGGGTTTTGGATTCAATTCGGCATTACCCGGACCCTAAGAAATCTACTTTAGCGGGGGTTCCTTTCCGGCTTCCTCAAGCAATGGAAAGCCGTTTCGAACCTGTGAGATCTTCATTGATCGAAGTCGTTTGTCGACGACGTTTTGCGTCCAGTGCATGGGATGCAGCCAGCGTACTGCTCGATCGTGGAGAGCGGGTACAGGACCCTTTGCCATCCTGCTATTTCCTGTATATGCTCCTCATGAAACTGCTGGTGGAAGACCTCGCGCGGACTCTGGAGGAAATCCACGTGGCATCGCACCCCGCCAGCTGCTGGCTCAAAAGCCAGAAGGAAGGCGACCGCGTGACCGGCAGGCATTGCCCTAGATGCCGGATCCCTTGGCATTACGCCACGGCAACAAGAACGGATGGACTTTGATAGGAAGCCCTCCATGATGAGAAGGCAATCAAAGATATGCTTGAGGATCTCGGGGGCCCCGAAGGAAACATAAAACCCCGACTGTAAGGGCCTTAATTATTGGTAGTTATTTAGGCCCCTAGATTACACACTGCACCCTAAATCCGAAAACCCCCAAATCCTGAGTTCAACTCCCCTGTTCAGTGAAGGTGGAGGAAGCTCGACGCCACCTCGAAGATCGAGAGAGGCGACACATCAGCAAGCAGTTAAAGGGTTTTAGAGAAGAGGTTCGCTTTCTTCTTGCGGGTTTAGGGTTTAGGGGTTTAGGGTTTTGGGAGCAGGGTAACCCGAAACCCTAAACCCTAAACCCGCTCTAAAGCTCCATGGGCTGGGTTTAGTGGGAGACAGCGAGCTCGAAGTTCGGGAGAGAAGAAACGGGCTATTCTTGAACATGCTTCTCAAGCTTCGTCTAGTAGACTCTGTAAGGGTGAACAAAATCACAGAATTTTTTGAAAGAGCCGTGAAAGAAAAGCCTTGATAGAACCCTCGAGCGGCCGTGCAGAGACCTTATGTCTCTAGGTGCGAAACTGGAGGAGCAGCGCGGCGGCGAAAGGGCATAGCCAGGACCCCAACCATAGGATCCACAAGCTAGAAATCCCTTTTGGGAGTTGTGGCCACATACCCTGACTCCGCAAGCCCCTCGCCGTCATAGAGCCTTGTAGTGTCCCTGAAAGGAACCCCAAAACCCAAAGCCCTCAACCCGCAAACGCTGAACCCCCGAGGCCCTTGACAGAGCAAACAAGAAGATGCGTGCCAGGGAGCTTGACATGCGAGAAGAGGCGTGTCGTCGCGCCGAGGCCCGTTTCTGGGTTCGTGTTAAGGATCTTGTTCTTAAGTTTGACAGTTTGGGTAGTTCGCTAAATTCGGGTCATCTCTTGATATAGTACCGCACCCTTACAAAAGGACCCTGAAAAGGGGACCCTAATCTAGAGAATTTATGCATATGGTATGTACACGGCTCGGGCGGGGCCAATCGGGCCTCGGGCCCCCCGGATTCCTGCTCTGCCTGGTGGGAGCTCCCCAGGGAAGGGGCCATAGCCTGGCAGAACTTCCAAAAGCGGTTCTGCTAAGAGGCCCCCTCAACCCTCCCTAAGGCCTAAACCCTCAACCTTAAACCCTAAACCCTAAACCCCCCCAAAAAAAAACCTAAACCCTCAAACCTAAACCCCCTTGAGCCCTTCCTCGTTTTCTGGACGGCTTCGGTTTGGGCCACAGCAAAGCTTCCTTTCAAGCCTGCCCGAGCCAAAACGAACACACAGGTTCAATCAGGTCTATCAGGGGTTGGCTTTTTAGCACTCCGGTGACGATCCTATTCTAATCCGGGGCTCTAATCTAATTTTGACTTTGATTTTTGTGGAGTCAATTGAGAGTCAAGCCAACTGCAAACCCAGGCCAAGCCGGCCCCGTCTAAGCAGGCGGGGTTGGTCAGTCAGGTTCTAACATGAGTCTTTGTTCAATGCTTACGCTGAAACCCTATAAGCCCTAAATCCTAAACCCTAAACCCTAAATCCTAAACCCTAAACCCTACATCCTAAACCCTAAATCCTAAAATCCTAAACCCTGAACCCTAAACCCTAAACCCTCATCCTTGCACAGCAAGGCTGAAGTCCAAGCCCCTGGAGCCATCAGCCGTATTCCTAAATCTGGAGCATAGGGTTTACCTTAACCCCTAATAACCTACCTTTCTAGGGACTTATATAAAGTTATTTTGGGTCCAGGTTAACCCCTAATAACCTACCTTTTTAGGGACTTATATAAAGTTATTTGGGGTCCAGGTAGTGTTTAGGGTTTAGAGCATAGATCATGAAGCCGACTGCAGTTCTAGACCCTAACAGGGTTTAGGGTTTCGGGCCAAACACCTTTAGAATCCTTCCAGCGGATCCGTTATAGAATCCCCTAAAGGCTCGCGAATCCCACACTCCTCTAGAATCCTTGAAAGGAGCCCTTAAAGAATCCCTGAAAGGCCTATGAGGCCTACGAATCCTAAAGCCCAACCTCCGAAGCTTTGCAACGAGAGGCGCGACAGCGCGCGAGCCATCGCCAACTATCCGAGATGAGGCTGCCAAGGGTTTCGTCGGGTTTGTAAGTTTTTTTTTTTTTTTTTACGGGCTTTCGTAGGGGGTTTTATTAAGGTTTGTAATGAAGTTTTTGTGTAATAGCTTTTTTGTAGGGTTTATGGGGTTCTGTAAGGTGTTACAGGGTGTTGTAGGGCGGGCGCTAAATATACCATTGCTGTGTAAGGTTCTCCCCATCATTTCATAGACATGCCGCACACCCAAATCTATGCGACAGTAACCTTGAGCAGAAAAGGCCACTAAGCTTTGAACTCTGAGGTTTAAACTTGAAGGCTGAATAATTGCCAATACATACCGA